TGCGATTAATCGTTTGACAGCACTAATATATATATATATATATATATATATATATATATATATACACACACACATTCACAAACACACAAAAGTGTGTTCTTTTCTGAAAAAAAACATGTTTTTCCTTATAACAAGACAAAAATATCTGCCAGTGAGGTAGGAGAAATAATCTAAATTCAAAGGAGAAACAAGATTATTTTTCTTACCCCATTGGCAGATATTTGTTCTTGCTTTAAGCAAAAGCACAATTTTGATCTTTTTTTTCCAGAAACTAGACTTAATATTTTAAGTCATTTTCCTTCTCAAGTAAATTTATCTTGGAAGCATTTTGATATTTGTAAATAAGAAACAAATACAGAAAATAAGAAAATACTAAGTAAGAAAATAATTTTTTTGCAGTGCGCACAAACAAAATTATGTTAAAACAAAAGATGTGAAAAATAAGTCTGAACCGCTTTGAAACCGTGTCATTCAGTTTGGTTCTATGATACTAGTACACCATCTGCTGGTTAAATCAAGTAGTGTAAGCATTATAAATAGTTGATGTAGTTATGTTTGTCTGCGTCAATGAAAACCATGTCAAACTGCTCTCCCGTGGCAGCTAATTCCTGCAACATAGTACACTTTTAAAGCTTTTTTTTTTTTTTAAACAAAATAATCACATAATCAAAATTCCTTTCTAGACAGGACACATTTAACAGCTCAAATGCCTGTAGAGATGTAGGTGGGACTTGTTTTTCCCCACCTTCAGGGTATCCATAGCAGGTCCTGTCCTCACAGTTATCTTTTTACCATGGGGAGACTTGTCAAATATAGGTTGTGCGAAGTCTTTCAGGTAAGGCTCGAGCTCACAGGCAATAAGTTGGCCATTCTCTGGTAAGGCCTCCGCCATTGACAAGGCCCCATATCCTGTGAACATTCCTATTTCTAAGACCCTCTTCGCTTTGCTCATATGGACCAGCATCTTTAATACCTGACCTACAGAATGACAATAATCTTAGTCTTAAAGAACAGTTTGCACATATATGCTACTGTTTAAAAGTTAAGGGTCTGTAAGTTTTTTTGTAAGATTTAAAAAAAAAAAAGTTTCAATTGAAAAATAAAATAAATTGTATGTGCAGTTGTGCTATAGATGGAATAGAATAGAAACAGAATAAGATGTAAGATGAATAGAATAAGAAAATACAGGAAAACGAATATTGTGAAATATTATTACAATTTAAAATAATTATTTTAAATTTTAATATATTTTACAATATAATTTATTCTTGTGAATGTAATGTCACATTATCCTTCAGACATCATTCTAATAAGCTGATTTGGTGCTCAAGTAACATTTCTTATTATTATCAATATTAAAAATGATTTTCTGCCTAATATATTTGTGGAAACAGTGATATATTTTTTTCAGGATTCTTACTGCATAGAATATATTTAAAATATAATTTTTTGTAACATTATAAATGTCTTTAGATCAATTTAATGCATCCTTGCTGAATAAAAGTATTAATTTCTTTCAAAACAAAACACTTAACAGACCACAAACTTTTCAACAGTTTATACTTTTGTTTTATGAACTGTGTAATTGTGTGTATCTATGAACACATCAAACATAAAGTACACAATATGTAAATTAAAATATTCACTAAATGTTGCAATTAATCTAAAATTCCCCCCAAAAAATTTCAAAACTAAAGATTTGTATTTTAAAGATGTATACCTTCTACCTGTCCAGTGATGCATGTAACAGGAAGCCTGAATAAGGTTTTTCCATCCTCATGTACCTTATTCCAGTCATGAGAAATTGATTTCCTTCAGAAAATAAATAAACAGATTTATGATATGTATACTGCATATACATACACGTCATAAAACATTACAATAACGTATAATTGCATGTGACTGGCAGCCAAAATAATCTTGCACTGCACAAACACTTCCAGGATAAACACAGTGTAACCACAAACACACCCTAAACAAAGGTATATCATTCACAAAACTAATAATCTACAACCCACACGGAGTTTCAGGTGAATAGTTACCTATACAACTCAGCCAACGGTTCACTTTCCTGGCTGCTCATTTGTTCAAGGTAACCATCCAATCCACAAGCGATGTCCAGGGCCTTCTGAAGATTATCACGCAGCTCAGCGGGAACATTTGCATTATTCTCTGCGATCTCTTTAGCCTTCAGCAGGTACTCAACGACAAACTCCACAGGAGTGTCTGAAACTAATTCAAAAGAAGGATTAGTAAATTAGTAGTATGTGATTGATTTTCATAGAGGCAGGCCTTCATAGAGGTACACCTATGCAATACAGCTACAAAACGTATTACTGATGTACTACCTGGTAGAAAACTTATTACATAACACACCACGCCTGTAGAATGTATTAATTATACAGGCCACATAACATCACATGACCTTGTGGCCTTTGAAAAATCCTAACGTATTGTGCGTCATCTGTTTGCACTTCTCCCCTCAGGCAGACGCTACAGATCTCTGTGCACTAGAACATCTAGGCATAAAAACAATTTTTTCCCCCATGCCATCTCCAGCTTAAACAGCTAACATGAATCATTACCTGCGTTCTGTAATTCATTTCCGTAAGTCATTCTACATCCTTAATTATTGCCTCTTTCTCAAGTATTATGTAAATACATACGCATATCTCTTTATTTATACAGTTCTATATAGAGTAAATGATGCACAAATCTGTACATAAATCTACTGTTCCAGATTCATACACATTATTTATTGTTAAGTTTTACTATTTAAATGTTTTTTTTTTCTGTTCTCATGTCAGATGTGTATGTATGCATGTATGTATGCATGTATGTATGTACCAGGAGCACCTTAAAAAACCACAACAAATTCCTCGTGTGTTTGCACACCTGCCGAATAAAGCTAATTCTGATTCTGATTCTGATCATGTTACTTGCAACCATTACAAGATACAAAAAAAAATAAACAATGGGTGCAGTTTGTTGCTAAGAGGAGCAACATAGTGATTTCCAGCCTTTTTTGGCATGTGACCATAAAAACATTTAATTTAATGTGGCATTTCTTCTCCCACCTCACGAGCCCCTTGCGCTTTGGTTATGAACCACTAGGGGTCCACGAAACACAAACACCCACTAACTTGCTGCGTTATCAACCGTAATCATATAATTTTGCATACAACTGGTTTCTTCTTTTTTCATTAATAACTATAAATCTAACTGAACATTAGTGTATTTGTTGCTGTTTTTTTTTAAGCAATAGCCTAAAGCTTTTATAAAATTTAGATGTGCCTCAGTTAATTAATAAAAATAAAGTTAGGTTACACTGTATTTTAAGGTGTCGTTGTTACAGTGTAATTATTAATTTAAGTACTGAGTAGGCTAATATTAATTAACTGCACGTACTTAGGGGTTAGGGGGTTAGGATTAGGGTTTGGCTTTGTTACTTGCATGCAATTATGCATAATTAATTGTTATTAATTATTTACTGTCTTTACATTTATTTTGAAAGATGAAGCTCGCGATTATGGTAAGGGGCGTTACATTTCCGACGAGTGCTTGCGGTGTTCGGCCAATCACAATGCACTGGGTCAGCTGGCCAATCAGAGCAGACTGCGCTTGTCGGAAGGAGGGACTTTGTAGAAAACGAAGCGTTTGAGAGAGGCGGGGCATAGAGGACCTACAATAATGTACAGTATTTGAAAAATAATGTGGTTTTTTTTAACATTAAAGCATGTCAACATATTCTGTTACACCAAATACACAAAAATAATGATCTTTAAAAAAGCATCATATGACCCCTTTAATATAAAGTGTTACCTAAAGGTATATTTCCTAAATTAAATTACCATGGATTCTGATATAGCCTGCATGGGATGTTTTTGCAATACAGCTCAGATTCCTCTGACCAAGATCATAAAGTTTAGCCTGCAAAACTTTGTCCAAAATGAATGGATTTGACAGACAAGTAGGCCTATAACATTAAAATGAATATTTCTGTATTAATAGGTAGCCTAGACTATATTTTTCAGAACTACAGAAGATCCCCACAAAATCGCTCCAACACCTTCCCTTCAATTCAACGACTAAGTAACTAGTGTTTCTACACAAACCTCTAATTTTCCATAAATAAACACACAACGACACGAAAGATTTTCAAAGTAAGCTTAACATGGAGTATTTCTGTCGTCTGTTTATCTTATTGTTTTGCTGAACAACCAATGTTGATATTGCGCTGTCAACTTGATACCACTGACCGAGTTTAGTAACACACTAACCCTGACTGGAATTGCTCTCGTGGCATTTAAAGTTATTTTTGGTTGTGTGTCTGTGTGTAAATTCTAAGTAAGAGCTGTAAGACTTTGTATTGAACATGCTTTAGATCTGCTACAACAAACAGAACTGACGTTATTTCAGAAAATGTGCAGTTTGACTTGTCATTTAGCGAGCTGTAAAAGTTTGGGAATACAAACTGACGCACGTAAACATTCCTACCTTTTGCTGCCTGCATAGCGAATCTTAGTAGCCTCAATTGGGAGGGTTGTGTTGGCCGTGTTCCCCGTTGCACATGCCCATTTAACCCACCTTACAAGGATAAACGTTATGCAAATGATCACGTCACAAACTTACACAAGGTAACGAATTCGCAGTCAGTGCACCGCTCCGACCGTTTCAGTGTGTGCAGCTTTCTCACGTGTGCGTGCACAGACTACGTAACTGATCCCCCCCCGCCACCAAATCCCCCGGGAAGAAAAAAAAACCATGCAAGTGATTCCAAAGTTCCAAAGTATGTTGGATAGCTTGACATGGAGCATGTAAAGATAAAGTGTAAAAATTATTTTGCAATATGGTAACCCCCGCAACCCCCCCACCCCCCCTCTCAGGTAACCAAAAATGTGGTTGATAAAAAAAAGGAATCATCAAAGTGACTTTAAACTGGAATTGCCATGGGGTATGCAAAGTTCAAAAGTCTAAATATTTTGTAATGTAACTGGCTTCTTGTAACTAAAACCCCATACGATCTCATTCCATCACACATCTACTCCTCAAAATCATAAAATTTCCTGACAGCATTATTACAAATTATATCCACTTAAAATAAAAAAATGCTACTAATATACATTTATTCTAAAAATCATAATTCATAATTTTACATTTTTGAATATGTAGCAAAGGTCAAAACTGAGATCTGCGCTCATTTTGCTTGTGTAGCCTACACGTGATTTCTTATCAAACAGTCAAACCTGTTAAACCAGCTTCTCTTTAGACACCAATGACTCCAGTGGTCTTTTCCTTATCTTATTTTGTCATTGTTTTATTTGTATTCGATTCATTTAAGTGTATCCATTAATAATCATTTATTTGTGTGTTTAAGAAAACTCCAATAACTGAGATAAAAAGAGGATGGGTAAACCTTGTTATCAATGAAAATACACAATAGCAGAAACATTGCACACTATAAGCATTATCTTTGAGTCGATCATCAAATAAAAGTCATCGCCTTCTTTAAACATTGATATTGACATAGGCTAGTGCTCTCGGAATGAAGCACATTCTGACATTCTGCATATTCAGAGTACAGTGCACTTTGATGCTCCATTTGAGAAAAATAAATAAATAATTTTGACTTCATAATCGTGGACAGGGCTATTTACATAAGAGCACCTGTCCATCATTTAGCTCTCATATAACGTCCAGTAGCCTGATGTTTCATAACCCAGCCGCCTCGGTGTGTTTTGCGCACGCGTGATCGTCACATATAATTGTTCCTGTAGCGAACGTGAGTTGTGTAAGTTGAAAATCAGTGAGACGGCACGGTTTTGGAGAGGGAGAACCTTTCATACGTTTCCTTAGGAGCAAGCTCCTCCCAGATTCCTGCTGATGCGCCTCATGACATTATTTATTGACGCTTCACATATGGAGAGAGCTGAGGAACCTTGAACAGTTAATACAGCCTCTCTGGAGAACTCGACGATGGAAAACCTCAACAGACAGAAGGAAACCGTATTCAGCCTGGTGCAGGTGAAGGGGACGTGGAAACGCAAAGCAGGGCAAAATGTGAAGCAAGGAATAAAAGGACGAGTGTCAGCTGCCAAAATGTGCGTATAAATCAATAAGTACTGCGAACATTTATACAAAATTTGACATTATTGTATTGTGTGTTTTATATGGAAACAATTAAATGAACTGGTTTTATTCAGGTCAGGCTGAATCAAGGTGCATTAGGGTCAGAACATTTAAAGGTCACATCAATTTCAAATAACTCATACTGTCCCCAGAAACTGCACCCATCTGTAATCAGTTTTTTGGACCCACTTAGAAACATCAAATACATGGATTTGCAGGTCTTAAAGATGTGTTTTTATCTCATGTATAATGTATTAAAAATATGTATATATTTAAAACGAATATATTTATATTATATTTAATTTGGATGGATTAACAATATGTTAACGAATTTTAATTTCAGTTATTTGTGGCACTTCATGGCTTTTTATGTGCAGAAATTTATGACAACTTCTGTATCATTTTGCTATTAGTAAATGGACATGCTAGTAGTGCTGCAATTTTAGTTCATACATTTCTTCAAACTAAGTCTTCAGTAAGGAGGAGTCAAATATGAGCTCACTTTACATATCCAATACAATCATCCGCTTATGCAAAGCAGGCTGTATCAGCATTACAGCAAAGTGCTATAGTAGTTTGTGTTGCTATACATCCATGGGGACTTTTACACCTAAATATTAGAAAAAAATATAAGAAATTATTAGAAAATAAAACATATTTTCAGCCAAATTGCTTAAATTAACTTACAGTAGTAAATACTGTAGATTTTATTAGTTTCAAGTATTAGAAAATATAAAATATTTTCAGCCAAATCGCTCAAATTAGTAATAGTACATATAGATTTTATTAGTTTGAAAACAGAAATATTGCAGTCAGGTAGCACCACTTATTTTATTTTTTGTAATATATGATCTGACATATTTTGTTTTATCAAAAACAAGCTACAAAATGAGTCATGAGCTTTATATGTTGCAGTTACGAAAGCACCTCCTCTAGTGGCACCACCTGGACAGTGGTCACCCCCATCACCTTCACATATACAGTTACTCAGACCAAAAACCTTCTTGACCCCAGCAATGACACTCTGCTTTTGGGCCACATCAGAGACAATGAGCAGCTTGAGGCCGTACGGTCCAGCACCAAGCCCTTAAAACGGTTCATAGTCATGGATGAGGTAGTATACAATCTCTATGGTTCTCAGATCACCGACTACCTCGAGGCCAGACACGTCCTGTACCAGATCCTGCCCCTGCCCACGACGGAGGAGAACAAGTCCATGGAAATGGCCCTGAAGATCCTGGAGGAAGTCCACCAGTTTGGCATCGATCGGCGCACTGAGCCCATCATCGCCATCGGAGGTGGGGTCTGCCTGGATATCGTGGGTCTCGCAGCGTCCCTCTACAGAAGGCGCACTCCATACATTCGCGTTCCCACTACCCTTTTGTCATACATTGATGCAAGCGTCGGAGCAAAGACGGGTGTTAATTTCGCAAATTGCAAGAATAAGCTAGGCACCTACATCGCACCTGTTGCTGCCTTTTTGGACAGGTCGTTTATACAGACAATTCCTCGCAGACACATATCTAATGGTCTTGCAGAAATGTTGAAGGTAGAATTTTTTTTCCTTTTTTTGCAATATTTATTGTTAAAGGTTTTATTATTACACCACTCTGCATCATATTTGCCGAATTAAATCCAATACTTGTTTCTTGCTAATTTTGGGGTGCTGATTCCAAAAATGCTGCCTGTTTTTCTCTAGCACATCACACTTTCTCACAAAATAGGATGTGCATTACATAGCATTTTTGCTTTCGACAACCATTTGTAAGGTGACGAAGTCTTGTGTTATCCCTTAATCACTAGAAAAAACTGCCACTAAGACATAATTCTTATCTCTGAACCAGTTTAGAGCTAATTGTTCAAATCTCAGTCAATTTTCACATGTATGAATAATTCTAAAGACATTTTATATGTCTAATCCTGATTTCAAGGTTTGAATTATGGCCAGTGATGGAGGAAAATGCAAACAAGGCAAACAAGATTTTTTTCTGCCACATCTGTGGGTGTTTTACTAAATCCAAACAGTGACAGAAAATTACAGATTTTGTAAAAAAAAAAAAAAAAAACGTATTTCTTTAAAAACTTGTGTTTATGTTCTGACATTAAATGGAGTATTGGAATACATATTGATGATATTTTTGAACTCGGCATCATCAAATTATGTAGTATTAAGCCTTTTTTTTTGCAAATCAGCAGAATTTTTTTCAAAATGCAGGGCTGTGTTTTTATTATTATTTGTCTTTTTTATTGATGTTTATATTTGTGTTTTTATTGTTCTAGATGGCTCTGATGAAGCACAGAGGGCTGTTTGAACTTCTGGAAACGCAGGGGCAGTTCCTTTTAGACTCCAAGTTCCAATCCGGGTTGGTTCTAGAAGACGACCGCATTGACCCTGCTTCTGTTTCTACACGTGTCGCCATAGAAACCATGTTAGAAGAATTGGCTCCAAACCTGTGGGAAGATGATCTAGACAGACTCGTTGACTTCGGTCACCTGATCAGCCCAGAACTAGAGATGGTATCTTCACTTCATCAGCTGCACATTCTACTATTCCCAAAGGGTTGGGTGGGGTTCAAAATTACAGCCTTTCACTGATGATTGACATGTTTCGCCTCAAGGCTTTTAATATTCTTTCCTTGTGCGAGATACACTATTTTAGGTATGCTGACTGTCTGAAAACTGATCTCAGAATTGGATGCGTCTCTCCAAGTTAAAATGCCTTTGTATACAGTACATGCAAAATGCAGCAATAACCGCATGTGAAATACTTAATTATCTTTTTTTCATTCTTAGAAAGTCCTACCAGCTTTACTCCACGGTGAGGCAGTAAATATCGATATGTCCTACATGGTGTATGTGGCGTGTGAGATGGGGTTTCTCACAGAGCAGGAGAAGTTCAGGATCGTCTGTTGCATGCTGGGACTGGAGTTGCCGGTGTGGCATCAAGACTGCACCTTTGCTTTGGTTCAGAAATCTCTGTGTGACAGACTACAGCACTCCGGAGGGTTTGTGAGAATGCCTTTACCAACA